ATCTCTGAGACACGTTAACCATCGCACTACGGTAAGGTTCAGCCTCATTGCGATGGCGGATCAGGGATAGTTCGCTACTGCTCTCGTCTCTTCAGTTTCTTACATCCGACTGGTCTACCAGGCATCTTTGTTAGCACGCAGGCTCCGTTTTTGTTCGCGTCTAATAATCCGTCTGGTCACATTGTGCTCTGACCCAGCCGGAAGATTTATTCTGCATTCCAACAGGTTCAGATATCTAGTGACTGGTGCGGTGACGATTGATAGTGCCACAAGCAGATGCTCCTGCGTCGTGCATGTTTACTGAAATCCTATTCCACTGAAGCTGTGTCCTTAGGACAACAGAGCGAAAGTTCGGTACGCAATGCATCTTGGTAGGCTTGCCTGAACTAGGACTGCTATAATTCCTCAGTTGCCAATCGGGAGAGACACTTGGTGCACCTCCCGTTAACATTCATGGAAAATAGACAACGTACCAAGGCATGTCAAATTCGAGGTAAGTACTCTAGAACGAGCGGCATTCCAGGATGGAACCACGCCATCTGTAACTTATGGCAATGTGATCTTTTTGGATCCATCGCCGGTCAGCTACAGGAGGATGCCAAGTGGAATTTCGGGCCCACTGTGTCTGAAAGCAGTGCTAATAAGAAACAGCTGGTACCTCGCACAGTTGATAAAGACACTCGTCGTTGTCCGCACGGTTGGAGTTAAGCCCATAATTACCATCTAGCTAAGCTTCTGAATAGCTTAAGCGATCTACTTGTTCAGTCGTATTCTGCAAGCACGGTATATTACCAAATATAAACTCGTCCATGGATAGGCCCACGGTATAACTGCAATATCAAATTCGTAAGTCCCTATACTAGTCGACCCCATGTTAGTATGTGTGATGGTGTTTGATTCTGTATATTCCCGAACTTTAAATGTGCAATATACCGAGAATTTCCGCCACGAAATAACGTGTATAGTTATAGGCAGGCTACCCGCTGTGCGGCGTGGGCACCATCACTAGCGAGTGGTGCTAAGGGGAGATAGGGCAGACGTGTGCAATGAATTCTTGAGTGGATTTTGCATGTGACTTATCAAATTGCGTATCACCTTTATATAAGCCGGCCTCCCTATATAGGAATAAAAAATTGTCCAAAAGTCATCCGCTTATATTCGGTACTCAGACGTCTGAACTGGTAGCACTGCGTAATAGCGTCTTCAGTTCGTGATAGAATGTGTCTTCGGCAGCATCGGAACTGCAGTCAGTGGGAGTTTAAGCGGTAACCACAAACAGTATCTTGCACTACTTCGTGAATCAACGTTGGTCGATGTCGTCAAACAGATTGCACACAAACGGCTGTTCAGCGAGATCCAATCAACCAACGATGGCTCAGCCTTGGAGCTAAGTACGATACCTACCCCAGTTTGACGAGGGGCTGTCATACAGTGTCTCCAGATGTGTGCAACCAATAGCGAGGATAAGCCGGGCGCAGTTAATTCAACAACCTCATGAGAGTCATCGATCTTAGTTTCGGATACGTAACACGCGTCAACACCCAGTGTGTCCAACGTGCAAGCGAGTGCAGCCTGTTGATCTATTTGCCTTAAAGTGCGAACGTGGTTTTACAAGGGACTGTTGCCGATAGGCGTCCGGTGGGTGTTGCGAGAAGGTGGCTGCAGATGGTTCGACCCAAGTGGTAATACAGTTGCTCTCATTTAAACTGGGTTAGCAACAGAATTGGAAGGGGAATAAGAGAAACAGGTGGAAAAGAAAGAAGGGAGGCGCCAGCATTAGCATGTTTTCGCTTATCCGCTCTGCTGTACGCAGCAAATAAAGCGACCCTTGATAATCTGCGCGACGACCGATGCAGAGTGTAGTTAATCTTTGAGGAAATTGTCATGGTTATAGGTGGGCTGAGATATGGCCAGGGCGCCCAAACCTAGGCAGGAGAACGACTAGGGTCAGCAACCAAAGCCTTTGGCTCAAAAGGCTGTCCGCCAGGCAACGGGTGTGGCAACAATACGGTTTTGCAGCAATGGACGCCGTCCCAGTCTGGAGGACCAGAAGATTATGTTTGTCTGATCTGTAACGACCAACCAGGTAGAAGTAGCTCTCAAGGAGCCAGGGGGGGCACCACGCCGTATAGCTCAATGGGTCAAGAGGTACGCAAACCGTCGCACTATCTTAAGGCCCAGTCTCGTTACGACGGGCAAACGACCATTACGGTGAATAAACCAGTCATCCTAAGTCTTGTAAAATAGGGCAATTCCCTAAAAACCATTTAGAAATAGAGTACTGCTGGTTAGCATGATACTAAATGCGATCATAGACGAGAGACAGTAAATTTTTAGAGCCATTAAAACGAACAAAAAATTATTCCAGTGTACCGTGAAAAAATGCAGCTAAACAATCGTTCGTCTTATTGCTGGAGTGTCTGCGTAACTCATATCGCGACATACCCATCCCACGCATCTGGTGGTAGTCGTGTGACGACGAAGCGTCGGTACGCGGTGTGCCGGTCTTTTGGAGCGTCTCAGCTGAGAGAATTCCTATACTGCTGGGATCGTGAAGCTCACGGAATGAGTCATTTGCAGTTCGATCATATTTGCAACCGAGGTAGCGATTTGCTTTTCGTTCAGGCGCAGTTTTCGCCACTCACGCCTTTGTATTACGTGTGGTCGACTTACTGAACTCAGTGATCACGCCTGTTAAGGTACAACGAACCACGGGCAATGTTGTTCTTCAGCAAAGTAAAAATTCCCATTTCATCCACATGGATAAATATCAGAAACTAGTTGAAAATTCTTTTCGGCAAACTCTCTTCAAACTGAAACGTTTACATAACGCTGATTGTGTGGAGAAAACGTTAAATCGGTCTGGCATTGATTTCTAAGCTTTTTGCACAGTCAAAATCGATGACTTATGACGGCTACAGATGACAAACAAAGTGCGCCAAAGGAACATTGATACATAAACCTCAATAGTCTAAAGTAGATAGAGGTGGTCACAAAGGGCTAACTAGGTAACGGTGTCAATTGGATACGGTAGTAGTATCGGCCGTAGGAATCGTTTTCTGTATGCATAATTCCGGCTTCAGATGGTGGTTGTAAATAACCTCGGCAATAGACAAGATTTGCTTTCGGAATCCTTGCGAGAAGCGTTCAGGGAGTGAGTGGATGACTTTAAAGTCATTCTCAAATGCAGTATGGCCACAGTCAATGAGATGAGACATGATTGAGCTGTTTGGGGACCTCGTTTCGCCTCTATAAAACCACGCCGGGATGTGCTCGCGAATCCTCTGAGATAGGTGTCTCGTTGTGCGATCCTCGTATCGTACACACAGGAGCACGAGTACCGATAAACGAACATTGAACGAGTCAACAAGGGCAGGCTATCTTTCAGAAGTTTTGCAAGGAATGGCTTGTGGTAAATAATTCTCAAGTGGGCTGCGAAACCGATTGCCTTTCTTGGATGTAGAAATCATCCACAACTCGGACAGATGATATAGCAGAAAGGTACACAGAATGCATACGTGGACCGGGCAGTACATAAACTTTCACAGCATAGTGCCTTTACAGCACACGAGGAGCTTAATCCGATCTCTTGCCTTCAGGGCGCGCAGTATTTGCACTCCGGATCCCGTCAAGGAAGAGCCACAGAGAATCAGCGACACCTTTAGGGAAAATGGTTACCCCGATAACTTTATCATGAAGCATCTGAAGAGACGAAAGCGAAAGCCAACTAGGATCATTGCTCCCAAGAAACAGCTTTTCATATGTTCACCATTTAGGGGCGATTCTGCAGCTGATATTTTATCTCGAGGCCAGAAAGATACTGTTGAGAAAACTTGTATCGCAGCCTGCTTGAGAATAATTTACCACAAGCCATTCCTTGCAAAACTTCTGAAAGATAGTCTGCCCTTGTTGACTCCTTCAATGCTCGTTTATCAGTACTCGTGCTCCTGTGTGTACGATACGAGGATCGCACAACGAGACACCTATCTCAGAGGATTCGCGAGCACATCCCGGCGTGGTTTTATAGAGGCGAAACGAGGTCCCCAAACAGCTCAATCATGTCTCATCTCATTGACTGTGGCCATACTGCATTTGAGAATGACTTTAGTCATCCACTTACTCCCTGAACGCTTCTCGCAAGGATTCCGAAAGCAAATCTTCTCTATTGCCGAGGTTATTTACATCCACCATCTGAAGCCGGAATTATGCATACAGAAAACGATTCCTACGGCCGATACTACTACCGTATCCAATTGACACCGTTACCTAGTTAGCCCTTTGTGACCATCTCTATCTACTTTAGACTATTGAGGTTTATGTATCAATGTTCCTTTGGCGCACTTTGTTTGTCATCTGCAGCCGTCAAAAGCTTAGAAATCAATACCAGACAAATTTAACGTTTTCCCCACACAATCAGCGTTATGTAGATGTTTCATTCTGAAGAGTTTGCCGAGAAGAATTCTTAACTCTGAACTGATTTCTCATCTTGATTCCTATTAAGGTTGCCTATGAGAGTCATAATGAGGTTGTCACCCCACCCACCGTCTTGTCTTCGCACGAGAGCCAAGTGTTTGTGACCGCGCAGCGTTGATGAACTGGAGACAATTGGTCCTCTGTTTGTTTGAGGCATTTTGATTGCACGCTATCTTTCTTATTATGGCTCATTAGTAACGCTGCCTGTGGCCGTATGGCAGCGAACACATCGCGGTACGAAGTACTGAAGATGATAATGGTTGTCTCTCGAAAGGGTGCTGAGAGCTGAGCCAGACTAGATTTTCCGAACACTCCACCAAAAACAGATGAAACTAGCTGATCACGTGAACCGGATGACAGTGCGCCACGTGCTTTATCCGAAAGACTGCACGAGTATGCACTGTACGTCACGCGATCGGACCCAAACACAATCAACATCACCCAAAGGAAATGTGGACCAAATAGCAACCGTTGTATTCTTGTTAGCCAACTGTAAAGAGCGACGGGAAGACTGCAACAGAACTCACCGTCCGCGTGTTTGTCCTTGGTTTGTTCTGAACTGTGGTCTGCGCCGGAGGACGTTCTTGGGCCACATTTTCTTTACTGCCCGACCCACCGAATTGCGCAGTGGTCACTGGCTGCCTGATAGAGACGAAGACAGGGCATTTCAGCTAAGATAGAGTACCATGAATAGTAACAACTTAAACCAGATAACAGCCGAAGAAGCGTAAGAACGAGATGTTGTTCCTCGAGGGCACCACCAGTGAGTAGCGAAGAGTATGGAACGGTAATCATTGTACGAGTTGGGGAAACAGGTGTATTTGAACTACGCAATGCTATCCCGATAAAAATATCGATTTACGCGGGAGTAAGTTTCAGTTGCTGCGATCGCTGAGAGACAATTCCGGCGTTACTCGCTTTTCAACAGTGGTTGGATGGCCTGTTGGTCAGAACATCAGCCACCAAACACTACGTGTCGAATGCCAGTTTTGTCTTGGTGTAGAGGCCAAAGACGTGAAGTATAACATTGGAAGAACGTAGCACAAAAATTCTCCATTTTTGATGTGTTTTCCATAGTCGAGATTCACTTCGGAGTAAACTGTTGTCCAGTTGAGATCGCGTGTTTCAATCCCAAATCCAACAACGAACATCTAACAATGTTCCGGGAACATCAGGTAACCCCGCAAAAATACGCCACAAACTCCAGAGCGCGGGCTGAGAGATGTAAAGTTCAATTTCTGCCCACAACGTAGCGGGGTCCAGCCAGACCGACAGTTCGGCAGAAATTGAGCAATGTTCTTTCGTGGACCACGTGATGATTCACTACACCCTCAAAATGAAGCATTGTGCCAACTGTGATTTGGCATTTGTGAGTCGTATAAGAACGCTCAGAAGTCCGCTTTGCCTTGTCTTCTCCCTTTGGTGAGTTGGTTGGGAATCGCGTGGTCACCTGATCGTGTGCGTCGTTTAGCCAGTTGCTACGTGTACGTCGAAGTCGCTCGCGTCTAGTCCCCCGGTCGTGTGCGTAACGTTGTCTTCGAGGACTCAGTGTGTTACCCTAATACGTGCGTGAATAGGGAGCGTGCTCAGGTTACGCGTTACTTTCGGCTAAACTCACGCGACCAGGTCAGCGTAAATCCACTACAAACAACCGCGATGTCAAAACGTTGCTAGAAGAGCTCACTAACGTAATGATCAAGGTGTCAACCATCACATCCAGGGTTCCAGTCCCAGTTACAGCTATCTCCACTTAAAGAGTCCAACTATGTGCGGCTGTGGGAGAAAGCAACATTGGACATATCCGAAAAGATGTCCTGGGAGCGAGAGACCAGTGGTAACGTATTTCTGGGGCGCACCAAAGAAACATGGCTTGTAGAGAACCACGGAAATCGATGTGGACAATGAGAATGATTGATAGAAATAGTGAGGCAAATAGCCTTTTGTCTTTTCTAGACGCCGGAGACTAAAGACCATTAGGACTAACGGGTCATAGGTCAAATAGATCTAGTGGTACACTATAAAATCATTAAAGGATGAGTTAAGTTTGTGATAAGTCAATGAAAGTAAAGCTGAGTAGACTTGCCTCTGTCAATACCTACAAATCGGCAAATAGTGCGGATCAACGAAACTACGTATGGATCACTCAGACGAGTCAGTTCAATGCGGTTGGTCTTTGCATCGATGTGTTGTGGATCCAGTTTCCTTGACTCGTTGTTAAACAGTATTATTAATATTTGGAGGAGTAAGAGATTAAATTGTCTGGGCGAATAATTGGGGATCAAAAACTGAACGTAGAATGTAGGAGCACAATTGATTTCGTGACCGTGCCAAGTCCAATAAGGTGTCCAAAAACTGATGCCACACCATGGATCCCATTCGGGAAGACGTCAATCTGGCTCATCATGTCAGTGGATCTATTGTTGCTCTTCTGTCATCGACTGGCCGCCTCTGCTATTCACAGCTAAACTCATCGGTGGCAAGCAATACACAGCCTGGCAGCGAGCTTGTGGCATGCGGAACATAATCTAGCTAGCGTAGACAGTTCAAGTCAAATAGGCACTCCAGTGCAGGCTGTTGCCTAATACCAGTTCTCCCACCGGCAGTACTACGAATGCATCGGTGGCTAAACACGCACAGTGGCCAAGTGGTCCCTGATTCACAGTGTAATACTGGCCGCTCTCTAGAGTCGTAAGCTCTTCTCCCGCATCCGCTAAGCTTACGTCTCACCGGCTCAATAAGCTTTCAAGTATCCCTCTAGTTCCTCGCCGGAGTGTCTATCAAAGTTAAAACCCTTACGGTAAATAGATCATGTTCTCCGGATGCGCGTTGCCCGCATTTCTCGACATGCATTATACGCTGTCGGTGCACAATGTTTGGTGAAACCGTGGGCTGGCCAGTCCAAGTGACACAAAAGCATAAAGAAATTGACAGAGAGACTGTTAAAGTGTGCAGCACCGTCTTTGTGGATAGGGTCCTCGGATTGAGTCGCATCAGTAGTTGTATACCTGGCGTATTCCCGTAGTCAAGGGTGCTCCCATATTCAGCTACCTGCAGGTAGCTGTAAATACTCCGTTCTGACTACTTTGACTTCCTTTCAACACCCATTTTTTGTATTCTGTTCGCGTATTTTTCTTACAACTGTTATCCTGCTGGTGCGGCAACTGACTCAGTTTACCGAGCTGCTCTCTGGAGTTGTCCACTGAGAAGGGGAGTGTCCGAGAAGCGTCACCATACTTCAAGCCATCTACTCTCAAACTTCGGGCCGAGTGCGAGTGTACCGCGGACTTCCGCCTCCCCCTTTTTGTATCCCCAATGGCTATGGACGAAATCAGGAGAACTGCGAATCCAAGCAAACAATCAACAACAGCAGTACATCAGCCAATTGAACTGATGCTTCGCTGTCATACAACCATGATGACCTATGGAATAAAGAATAATAAGCTAAGCAAACATTCAGGGTAAACGCGCCTACATCTTGTGTAGATAACATACCGTCACAAACAGCTGGCTATCGTTCAAAGACAAGGCGGCATCGGCGAGACAGCTTTCACTGCTCCGCGTCATAATCAGCCATTATCCCGCAGATGACTCAGCACCAAACACACTTTAAACAGGCAATCCGACTAGGTAACGGTGGCAAAAACGCCAATGTTGTCGGCTGCGAGCCATGCCGTATAAAGTCTCGAGCCAAGCACAAGGCGGGTCACATGGACTCCAGCCTGGAAGGCGAAACGGACCAACGGCACCCAGTTTGGTCGTAGTGACTTCATTTCCCGCTATAAAGTCAACTTCCGTCCACTTCCAGCCTTGTGCTACTCTACACCTGGCAGACTAAACAAGGCCCTCCTAAGTAAGCGGTGGTCACGCATACGTAATACGTGACCAAGCCAACGCAATTTATTCAGTGCAATCTGTTGTCCTAAGGAAGTAGCTTGGATGTCGCTGCCTAGTACTCGCATACGCGCATATCATCGTTGCCGATAAGCTGGTACCATCCGATACCAGCAATGCATCGCAGACAACGATGATCAAAGACTTGAAGACACCTCAGATGTTCAGATCGAAGGGGTCAAGCCTCACTCCCACAGAGCAGGACGGCCCTCACTGTGGCCTTGACAACAAAGTCTTTCAGACGGAGGGTAACTCCTTTCTTTCGCCAAAAGATCCCACAGGTTCAAGGTAGTTCTGGCCTTTGCAATGCGTGAAATGACTTCAGTTTCTACTCGCCCATCGTTGTTGATGCAGATGCCAAGGTAAGTGAATGGACCAACCACCTCGAGTTCCTCGGGGTTATCAAGTGGCTGGTGGTCCTGCAGCAACACTTTGCACTTTGAAGGTGAGAAGTGCATACCAAATAATGGGACCACTCTGGACAGGCTATTCAGGGTTGATTGAGCCGCATAGTCAAGAACAACTAACCTTTCACCAGACAGGACTGTGAATCCGGGGGGCCGACATCGGGGTTCGGAATATGCAAACAACATCGCCGAAAGCTGCTATTCCTCACAGGCCGCCCAAAATGTCCTGGTAGGTCAGGGGCCAATTGGAATGTCATTCGCATCATCGAAGTGCAACGTCTTCCCTGCAGGAGTGGCTAGGCGCTGCTCCTATTCTTGCCCTTTCAGGTCAATCTCTGGAAGTGTAGACATGTTCGTTTACCTCGGAAGCTGCCTCAGCGCCAACGACTTAACGCATAAGGTCTCTTTGCACGTTTCTAAGGCTCGGGTTGTCATCTCTGGTGTCGAGGCGATCTGAGCCTATATCTGAAGGGCCGAGTTTACAATGCCACAGTGAGAGCGGTTACGTTCGATGGCTGTGAGACGGCCTGTTTGCGCAAAGGATGTTAAGAGACTGTGTTTTTAATCACCGCAGTCTTCGAAGAATTGCTGGTGTACGATGGTAACTACACTAGTAATAAGGATGTTCGACGGAGGATTTTCAGATCAGACAGATTTTGCTGGCCAATGAGCAGCATAATTTCTCTGCGCAAACTTAGTGGCTTGGGCATGCTCTTCGCATGCCTATTCATCGTTTACCACGCCGTGCCCTTTTCGCGTGCACAGAAATCAGGTGGAAGCGAAAGCAAGGTGACAAATGTATGTGCTGGGCCAAGAGCATGAAAGAGCTAACGCCAAAGTTAGCCGTAGTCGGGCGCTCTCGGCTCACTGACTGGGGTGTGAAGGATCAGGAACACGCATGGCTCGAAACGTTTTCGGATTTGGCAAGAAAGTATGCGCAATGAAGGAACATAAACACCAGTTTATACTCCTTCCATCTCTCTTCGTTGGTTTACTGTATTTCCCATAGGTTGTGACACCATGCCAATTGTACACTTGGCCGCGTAAAAGAAAGAAAGACGTCAGCAGCATGTCGGTACATAGTACCGACACTTTGCTGCCGCGTAACCACCACCGGTTGCACGTGGGCTAAGAATACAGCGAAGGTCGCCCTGCCCTTATGCAGGCTAGAACCCGCGCTGTCAGATTACATGACAAGCTCTTTACATTTAGGCTACGAGCCTGTCGTTTATATATATATATACATATATATATATATATATATATATATATATATGGTTGGCGGCATCCGGTTTCGGATTTGCCTGTCACTGTGGCAAGCCACAGGACGCCTGCGCCTACAGAGGGACCATGGGTGGCTCGCGCTGCACCACCCACAGCTCCAACCACACACCCCATATCCAGTGTAAACCCGAAGGAATAAGACCGGGAGGCATGTGGATGGGAACCACGTTTCATCAACGGAGCCGGCCCACACTCCTTCACAGGCAAACACAAGCACACTGTATTTGGGGAATCAAGCGCACACAAGGCGGTGGCTGGACCGTAGTCCGTTCCACACTGAGTGCATGGAACCACTCTTCGAGCCTAGCACGGCCACAAGGACCATGCACCCCGTCCCCTCCAGCAACGACCAACTGTCTCCTGGAGCCAGTATGGACGAGGTAGTGGGTAATAGACAGGTAGGCACCTTGTCAACATGCACATCAAGCGCAGCCACACCGGGGATAGCACGCAACAGCCAATCACTTGAAACGACAAAATGAAATAACATAAATCCAATAATGCATACAGATACGGTGGCATAACTCTTCGCTAAGTTAGCATATGAAGTAAGTTGGTTAGCAATGAATCCGTGATAAGGAAAAATGTCCACAAGTTACTCAAAAATGCTACAAACGCAACAAAATTACCGAAGATAAGCGCAATTAGCGTAAGCGACGTGGCCAGCCAATAGAAGACTATTCAGATAGGCAAAACTAACCAAATAAACTGGAATAAAATTTATGCAGCTTAAAGAGACCTAGTTTAAGTGTAAGTTGGTTTAGCCCAACTGCGGTGAAGAAGCATCAAGAATGCAACATCAGCCTCAGCATGGGGCACATATATATATATAATATATATATATATATATATATATATAATGAAATAACATCGAAACGCGTCATAGGAGTGCAGTGCTTTGTACGTGTGCCTGCGTACTGAGTATTCTTTCATTTCAAGGGTTAGACGCAATTCAGCTCCCCGATATGGCTGCGCCTCATGTGAAGGTTGATAAAGTGTCTACCTATTATCCACCACCTCATCCATAATGCCACGATGAGACAGTTTTTCCTTGCTTGACGGGACGGGGTGCATCGTCACGATGACAATGCTAGGTTCAAAGCGTGGTTCCATCCTGTGTGGAACGGGCTATGGTCCAACCACCGCCATATGTGCGTCTGGTGCGCATGGTTTCCCAACAAGGCATGAGTGCTTCTGCTCTGAGTGTGTGGGCCAGCTCCGTTGAGGAAACTTGGCTCCCATCCACATGTCTCCCGGTCTTATTCCTTCGCGCTTACACCGGATATGGGGTGTGCGGATGGAACTGTGGGTGGTGGAGCGAAAGCCATCCATGGTCCCTCTATAGGAGGCGTCCTGTGGCTGTCCCCGTGGAGGCCACAGTGACAGACAAATCCGGACACGGATGCCGCCAATCTGTATATCCATGCGCCGACCATAGTTGTGTGTGCGTCACCGCCTGAAGTATTGAAACACGGTAGACCCGCGTTGGTGACTACGCTGTACCACTTGGTGCAACGCGTGTGGATTGAGGAGGAGGGGCCTCCTGAGCTGAAGGATGCCCTCGTGCTACCACTGTACAAGTGCAAAGGGAGCAGGAAATATTCCACGAATTATCGTAGTAGCAACTTGCTGAGTTGTGTGGGCAAGGTGTTTGCCCGAATCCTGCTCAACCGCCTCGCCAGTGAGGTTGCAGAACCGAAAGTGGCGGAAAAGCGATGGGGATTCCGTTCGGGTCACAGCACTATAGATATGGTGTTTGCGGCTCGTCAGTTGCAGCAGTGTAGAGAAGGACGCTAGCAACTGTACTCGCTTTTTGTTGATTTCACCAAGACATTTGATACGGTGAATCGTGGGACATTGTAGTTGGTGCTGGGTAAGTTTGGTTGCCCAAATAAGTTTGTAGCTTTAATTAAACGTCTGCACAGTGGTATGCGGGCGATGGTGCGGCTGAGTGGAGAGACCTCGGATGACTTTGCAGTTGTCTCCGGTGTGAAGCAAAGCTGTGTCTTAGCTCCTGCCCTGTTTAATATTTAGCTTCATGCCACGATGTGCTTTTAATGCCTCTTGTGCTTACGGTGTTCATGTGGAGCATCGTATTGATGGTGGTTTGCGGAACACCCGTCGTTTCGGTGCAAGGACCATAGTCTGTGAGACAACTATCCGTATAGTGCCGTTCGCTGTCGACTGTGCGTTGTTTGCACACAGCGCGGATGAGTCGCAGCGCATGACTAGTGCTCTGGCTTCGACAGCAACCAAATTCGGGCTCATCATCAACACAAGCAAAACTGTCTGTCTTTTTCAGCCTTCACCGGGTACGCTAGCTAGAATGGTGCCGTGAATCAGCATTGGTGCTGAAGTATTAGAAACCACCTCTCGCTTCTGATACTTTGAGATCTGGTCTCGACTGACCAGCAGATACACAGTGAGCTACCTATCCGCGTCTCAAAGACAGCGACGGGATTCGGGAAGCCAGGGTACCGAGTGCAGAACAACTGTCTGTTTACCGTTGGCACGAAGCTTATGGTGTACAAATCCGTGGTGCTGTCCGTTCTTCTATACCTTAGTGAAACGTGAACGATGTACCGGCGAGATGTGCGACATCTTTAGCGGTTCCATCAACTGCGTTTGAGACGGATTCTGCGCATTAGTTGGTGCGATAGAGTTGCAGACACGGAAGTGTTGCGTCGAAGTGATAAGTATGCAGTGGACTGCATACATTGCTGAGACACTTGCGGTGGCTCGGTCATGTGTGGCGTGTGGATTCGACGCGGATACCGAAGCAGCTATTATACGGTCAGCTGTGTTGGGCAGTGGCATGTAGGGAAACCAAAGCTTCGTTATCAGGACATGATGGAATAGGGCCTCTCACTCTGCAGTCTGCGACTGATTGGGCGAGTGCTTATCGTTCGTCCGCTTACATGCAAGTAACCAAACTAAGTTACTTTTTTACAATGTGCTCAAGTACGTATGTTCCGTCGGTGCTCTGCGTTTGTTCGTACAGGGGTCAACTTGCAACTAAGCTTAATACACTTGGTGTGACATAACAATACTATGTTTCGTCGTGGGTAGACTCAGTTGCGTATCCAGGGAACCGCTAGACGGCCGTCTCATCCTACTGGAACTCGTCGGGTAGCGCGCATTCGCCGGGTCCGAACCCATGAATTATCCTTACGAGTCAACAACTCATGCCAGCGAGCTATGCATCGTGGCGGTGGACCGCCATGACGGATTCCTAACACTGTGATATGGCGCGGCTCATCCCCACTGATATGCACGTTGTGAACGCATCTCGATTGGTGGCGGCTTGCAACGATAGTCGTAACTTTGGGAGCAAACCCTGTCTTTGCATGCCCATAGGATGAGCCGTGCTATATCACAGTTAAAAAGTGCTTGCTTAGATGTGCCACGGCTGTCTGGGTAAGCCTAGCTGCGATGAAGATCAGAAAAGACAATAAATTCTCCTACTAATCCAATAAGAATAGTTATTTGATTGGACTGAACCGAGATGTCAGCCCCCTAGTTCAGCTAGTGTGAAAGAGTGGCACGAGACAAAATGGCGACTATGTGTCCCTACTTTTTGGTGTACAGTAATTCGGGTGCGTCGGGTGTTACAGAACTTGAGATCAACTCACTTGCGGGAGAAAAAATTTTTTATGCCACCAAAGACGCTTGACAATGTGTTAATTTGCCTTTGGCTGTCCTTTTGCAACTGGGATATATCGTCCAAACGCTGCTCTGCTCGCTGCAGTTTTTCACCTTGATAAACCAACTCGGTCGCCGTTTCGCTTCCAATTCGTTCAGAGTTGGCGATGCTTGCGAGAGCTCGCTGTTGACTGGCTTGTGCGCGGGCGCGACTGTCGAAAATTTGAGACTGATTGGAAGTGAAGGAAGAGAACAGAATATAACGGCGTTGAGAGCTGCGAAAATGTGTGAGGGGTGACCTAACAAATCTGTGGGTTGGTCACGAGATTCGTCTCTCACAAGCAATTAGTTAGCGTACAATCACTCTTTTCACATTCAAAAGCTAAAGGATAAATGCATCTCTTTGAAAGTGCTTGAAGCGGAATACCAGTGCTTCGTATAGTTAATTCATTTTAAACCGTGGACGGAGGTGAGAAGCATCTAAGCTATTGTGTCGCAATACAAGTCAGCCATTTTATCGTAAAATTATTATGCGTAATTTTTTGTTGTGCACCAGTAATGAGACCATGGTTAAATGGGGAGGAAACACAGAAACTCACAGCACAGACGCCACTGTGGTCGGCTCGTGACCATTGAAACAAGTGTATTCAAACGAACATGTCCATAGGCTTTCGAATCCCAACACGGGAGTCGGGAAGCATCAACAGAGACTAAGTTCGATGTGAGAGTCGCTATTCCTCTTGCTCTAGTAAACGGTGGGCCTCGCCTTCTCTTTTTTCATGCAGACCTCGGTTGTGCAAACAACGCGGGAGTCGGTTACTAGCTTGCATAACACATGGCTCATGTTGGGAGATGGCGTGGAGTAGATATTGCAAAATAAACTCCGGCAGCACAGCCATCGATTGTGAAACCACAGATTTAGCCACAAAAATGATTAGGCGAAGACAGCCAAACCGACCATCGGTCCACAGTAAATAGGGCGGTGCACCAGCAGTTTACAGTGAATGCCTAGACCAGTCTATTCGACCGCATCCGACACACTTTGCGCACCTGAGAGATCCAGAGCGCTAGGGTCCCAGAATGGACACACAAACACAAGAGCTGGCGTTGAAGATTGAAAAATAGTCGACTCGAGGAATAACGTTCATTCTTAGAGTTTTTGTGAAATGCTTCTTTTTCTCCCTTTTCCTGAGAAAAGCCGGAAACAGATTGTCTAGGTTTCCTGACTTGTAGACATACGAGGACATCACTAGGGAGAGTTTTCCGCTGGAGAAGGGATAGGTGCATTTAGCAACTAATCTGCGCTGTCACTCCACATGATTATGAAGATTGTTGATATCAATACCATTTAATGCACAGTGTTCCCCTCACAAATTCCGAAATAGCAAAAGAAAAATAATCTGGAACCAATTATTTCGCATAATTTTTCGACTGTTTACATACCCTGTGTGGAATGGTTAAGCTGCAGACGCGCACAATCAACGTGCAATGCCACCGGTGGAGTTGTGGTGGTCAAAGGTCACCTAACTCGCCCGCATTCTGGTTAGAAGGAAACGATCACCAACCTCGCCAAGCTGGTCACGAAATTTGTTTGATTGCACAAACCGGGTCTTAAGAATTGAGTCGCTGAAGCATGTGAATGCTGGTTTCTCTGTAGTCTAGTTTAAACAGTTCCCGCGGTTTACGGTACACAGTTGGCAGCTTGGATCTATCTGCAACTACGTCACATGAAATATGATATGAAATCCGTATAGACAGCGTGTTCTCACTTTGATTAAGCTACCTGCTATCGCAAGTGGAGGGAAAGAGGCAAATGCGTGGGGAGGTAACCTAAGAATCTGGTCTATGCAGGTTGGATGTGTATAGCAACCTCACGAACTGCCGCACAATAACGTTTACTAACGAAGATGATCATAATAATACGAATATTCTCTATCAGGCTCGTCGGTACAAAGCAAATTGGAACTGACATTGGGAACATGGTGTACAAAGTCAAATCTAGTTCGGCTGCGATTGCGATAGCAGTGGGTACCCATCACTCTAACAAGACTTCGGATCAGACTAGGGAGAACGATATGGAAATTTCCTATCAAGTTGATCCGCTTTAAATAACAGTGTAAAGAAGACCATTTTCCTTAGGATATCGGTCAACCGTTTTGCCCGGACCTTTGGGGATATCCATTCTACCAGTGTCGAGGTGACGCATCTTGAGAGTGAGTTTTATGAGCATCGCAGAAATAGAGCATACTAAGGCTTATGTGGATTTCAACTATTAAGGTTGAACTACTGTCGTGCCCAGCAGGTTCCGGTGCACAGATGGAAACGATGTACCATCTGGATACCTCCCCAAGTTAACGTTCAAGCTATAGAAGGTGCCACCGGATTCATTTACAATCGTGAACTCGATCGCGAGGTGGCATATGTTCTAATGCAGTCTAGTAAGCTTGTCGCCTGTTGAACGGTGTCAGCAGGGACAATCTTGTCTCCCGAATGCCGTAGCAGTAGCACCGTGTCACCTGCGTTGTCAGAGGAAGATAACGAAAAATAATTTAGCAAGCTGTAAATATCAGAACAAATAGTTCTGTTGAACAATTATGAACCGGGTACCGAGGTACGGTGGATCCAGTCGCCAGTTGCAAACGTTAGAAGTTAGCGAAGGCTGTTTATCACAGAGCAACGTGATCCTTTACCATCAGCTGGGTACCATTAAGGTTTATTTTAAAACCAATGGAATAAATGACATACGTTTATGCTGAAAGACTCATTGGAGGTTTCTATCCCGAGTCGCGCTGTGCTTGAATCCCAGTGGCCAGTTCCGGTCGAACCGAAGGAACCGGGTTCGTCATCATCAAATGGAGTACGCAGCATAGTGCGAGAACGTGTAAGCAGGATGAACAGGTCGCAGACTCTGAAGAGGATAGGAAATTCAACTTACATTATGTGCAGAAATGGTGAGCGCATTTGAAACAAGGCAGAAATAACGGGTGTAGGCCGTCTTCAGACTTAAATGGTCGATCGAAAATAACAGAGAAGTCATGCGGCTAAATGACAAAGCTAAAGTGAACGCAAGTAGTCATGAGGCATGGTTCACAAATCGATCCTACCGATGGGTGATGATAGTTTTCATTACTTAATCGCCTTATTCTAAACACTAGTAATCTGGAATGATGATTGCATGTCCGGTTGGTGCATCCCGACTGCCTGGCTGGGGTCCTAAGGAAGATGAACACGTGTGGTTGGACAAACCTGCTGATATGGCGAACAGACAGCTTCAGTGGCGTTTGCGTGGTGAGTTTCTTTGTCCATCCCCTTCCCAATTCCGATCTCATACGAAGTACACAGTATAATATTTAACACTGTATTAGTTGCTTTTGAAACTTTGTAGTGTAGCTTTTGTATCTCACCTTTTTGTATCGCGGCACATTAGCTGAGGTGTTTCTCACTCTCAACTAATGTGCATTGATGATTATGACTGTATGTCACATGATAATCTCCAAAACACCAAACGATTGAAGGAGAACGAACCGCGCAGTCTCGGTAAAGTCACACTACCCGTTTCAAACGAGACCGCAGATAAACGAAAATATGCTGCTGCGAATACTACTCTCCCTTTATTTCTACTTGCGTCTGCACCCCCAGTCATTGATTATTACGATCGCATCCATAGTCCACAGCGTAAAAGACAGGATCTGAATCACCAGTGATGTATGGTTATCGGTGTGTATGTCACAACAGTAACCAGTGCTCATGCCGAGAGATTTAATAGGCTCACAATCATCACCAATTAAGGCACATTCCCCACTTAAACTGATACATCACCGCCGTTCACCTAAACTGACCTATAGAATGAGAAGTAACAACAGAGTATGAAGGGGAACCCAATGCAAAGCTTAGGTGTAATTTGCCAAAATTCATGTTCAAAACACTTGCATCTTGTCAACAGCATAGGGTCACAAACAGCCGGACATTGTGCGACGATAAGGCGGTATCACTAAATCAACATAAACCATTATACTCGCTAGCTGGAGGTGAGATTCCTCAGCTGCTATGCCGCGACATGACGAGTAAGTGGTAGTAAAAGAAAGAAAATGAAGATAAATAGCAAATGAAGCCGTGCCATGTTTGTAAGTTTGTATCGTTAGTGGTATGATCCCGGTTGATGGGGCATAGAGCCGTCATAACAAAGACTTCATCGCACCGGACAGTGTACTGACCAAACGTCGTCACATGAAACAGGCAAGACACGTTGGCTGAGTGTGAGAAACAAATCTCAGCTAATGTGCCGCAATACAAAATAGATAAGATAGTAAAAATTAGACTACAAAAATTCAAAAAGCAGTTGGTATAATATATGTTACGGATTTGGCATTAAGTCGTGATTGCAGGAAGAAGCTCAAAGGCAGGGGTGGACAAAGAAACTCAACACAAATGCCATTGGGGCCGGCTCCTTGCTATAGCAGCAAGTGTATCCAACCGCTGTCAGTAGCTGTGTACGACAGGACTGCCCTATGTCCCAGTCTTTCAACTGAAGACGTTCTGTCGAGAGTACTGGAGGGTTACCAGCATTTTGGTTTGCAACTACTACCAGGTAATAGTAGTTGCATAAAAATATGCTGGTAACTCTCCAGAGCTCTCGGCCGGTGGCCGTGGTCTGCACGCCTGGCTCGCAATCATAAGGCTACTGGTTCGAATCCGCGTAAGGACGGGCGCCCTAGTGGTATACTCAGCCCCCGCGCGACTGGTGGTGGTCGCGCTGCAGCGAATCGCCGTTACGGCGTACAGCTGATGACAAGTTTACTACTTAAACTGTGCTCTGTCCATACGTCATCAAATTATCGTTCAGCCATATCCAAACACATGGCTTGCGAACTATCAAGCAACATGAACCAAAGTTATGGGTTTGCGTTGCGAAGTCACAATATCAGATACGGTAGTCTGGAATAAATTTAGATCGTATCTCACGGGAGTGTGCTTTTTACATCCTGCTTGCGAGGAGAAAAGAGACGAGCACAGTCACCCGTGGATAAGTAGAACTAGCAGGTCCCTGATCACAAAGCGGTGTAAGTGCTGAAGTACTTTACGAGTCGCTCCATCAATTATCGCCTATGATAGGTACCGCGAGGCTAGAAATAGATGTAAACAACACTTGAGGAAAGCTCAGCTGCTGTACGAAAGGGGATTGACTGATGGAACCTCGGAAAATCTAAAGAATTTCTTCGCGCTGTGATTCAAATTCGGTAATCTGCGTTGATGCACACCGATGGAACTCATTCGTATGTGGATTCTGACAAAGCTTGTAGCTTGCTAAACAGTACGCAGGGACTTCGCTACATGAGGCCACGTTGACTAGTGTTGAACTTGCTCCCAGAGTCTTATTTAGCTGAATTTCCTGTGATGAAAACGCAAGTCCTTAGGCTGCTACAAGTACTGAAGCAGTTGGGCGTGATTTGATTTACCCGTATCTTCTGCATGAGTTGACACCGAAACTACGTGGAACGCTGACGACCGTGTTTCGGAAGTCAATTGATAGCTGTATGTTACCTTCTGAATGCCAGGAAGCTATCATCTGCCCTATCTTCGAACATGGTAGTAAGTCTGCAAACTACGGGCCAGTCAGTCTGACTAGCGTCGTGGATAAACCGTTTGAAAAGCTGCTGAGAGATTCGATGGAGGGTCATCATCAATACAGGTTAGTTGAGGGTGAAAAACACCTCAGGTAATTTGCCTCAATACAAAAGAGAACATATTGAAAATTTACACTACAAAGAATTCAAAAAGAACAAGATAATGATAAATATTATATTATGCGTTTCACATGAGATCGTAATTGGAGCGGGAATCTAAAGGGGAGGGGTGGACAAAGAAGCTAACAACACAAACGCCATTGCGGTCGGCTGTTTGCCACAGCAAGTTTGTCCAACCAAACGAGTTCATCGACCTTCGGACCCCAGCCAGGCAGTCAACATGCAACAACCGATAACAAGTACGAAGTGAGGCATTTCATTCCTCCGCACTAAGTCATCGATTGGCCTACCCTCCCCTTCTACCATCCAGACCAGGCGCGCAAACAACGCATATCGCGGGAGTCGATGGACTGGCATGCGCAAAAGGTGGCCTAGCCATGAGAGTCTAGTGCGTGAGATAATGGTGCTGAGCGCTTCACTAACTCTTCTTGCACCAAATACATCACGCCGAACACATTCACTGCTCATGCGGTGTTCCCACCAGATTTGAGATAAGCTGCAAAGGCAACAATGAACGAACGAAACTAGCATCTTTATGTCTGTCGACCTGATGGGCCAGGTTCCACAACTGTATGAGAGGGTTGAACGGACGGCTGCATTATAAACTCTGATTTTCAGAGCAAGATCGATGTCGCGTCAGCTCCATAGGTAGCGGAGAAGGGCAGAAGCGCCTCGAGCTTTTGCTATACGGTCCGTGACAACATCGATCCCACGGACACTAATATAGCTGCCCAGGAATGACTTCTAGCTGGGACTGTCTGCTGAGAAAAGCTGTGCCTTAATAAATAGGTAACCATCATCAAAGCGCTGTACGCGCATAGTTCGGGAAAAATGAGGGTTGATGGGAAACTGTCGCCGCTTTTCAATATCAACAACGGTGTGAGACAAGATTTTCCGCTGTTACCCTTCCTCTTTAACTTCCCTATTGATGAAGTCATGGAAACAGTGTTCGCTGGACACGACCTAGAAGGTGTGGAGCTACTTCCTGGTGAGCAACTTCTTGACTTAGAGTACGCGGACGATAGTGCCCTAATCTGTGACAGATCCCGAACGGGCCAAGCAGCACTGGACCGATTAGCACTGGCTGTCAATCGTTTGGGGCTATGCTTTGCTCCATTGAAATGCAAAGTCCTTCTCCGAGATTGGAAGCAATCCATCCCTCCGCCGTTACTTGGTGGTGGTCAGCTAGAAGTAGTTCAGGAATTCAAGTACCTCGGTATCAATACTAGCGCCCGTGGGATCGAAGATGAGGTCACGAACCGCACAGCTAAAGCTCGAGGTGCTTCTGTCAATCTCCGCCACCTATGGCGCCGAAGCGTTATCAGTTTCGCTCTGTAAAGCAGAGTTCATAATGCACACGTCCGCTCAGCCCTCTCATACGGTTCGGAAAACTGGCCCATCAGGTCAACAGACATAAAGTGGCTACTCACACTCGACCATCGCTGCCTTCGCAGATTATTTCATGTCTGTGGGAGCACTGCGTAAGCAATGAGCGTGTTCGGCGTGGCGTATTTGGTACGGGAAGAGCTAGAGAACCGCATAGCACCATGGTATCTGTCGTGTTTCCACTACGGATAACCGATGCAGCCAATGTGGTCACGATACAGCCACTTCCCAAATCAAAAGGCAAAGGCCTCTGGTGGAACTTGTATGGAACATCCGGAAGACAGAATGTACAGCCAAAATATGGTTCGTGAGAGAAAAGACCTAATTGAAAGTTGCTGCCTATAACAACTACTAGATGCGCAAAAGCTCGCTTGTTGGCTGTTCATGTAGTGCGCTAACTGGAGAACAGGTCATTCTGATTGGTCCACTTCAAGGTAAAACGATGCCCTTGGCTTACTCCTATGGGCTAGCCAACAGCTACAGGCAGCACAGGACCAATCTTTTCCGGCCTGCTTCAAACAGAGAGCTGAGTTCGAAGGCTGCTACGTACGGTTTCCTGTAATACCCCCTTCGCGAAAAGTGACGCACGACTTCCTCCTAGGATCCAGCTGCACTATGACCACAGATTTCTGTTTCCGATCTGTCCATCATCGTGGCTGAATGCTCGTTCATTCTGTGGTCACCGGGCAAGGCTCATTAGGTCGCTTCTAAGTTCCAGGGTGTATGCTTTAATTGTCCGGCAGAATATCCGGTGGCAATGATCACTCGCTGATACTTATCTGAACGGTGGAAGGCCGCAGCTGGTTTGCGTGTCTGGTCCAAATCATGGTACCAACCCGAACTATATACAAAACTTGTCCAAGTCTGCAAACGATCGAGCCTGTGGTCCACTGTGGTCTTCCGGGGCGAAAGTCTCTGACTAAAACACTTTGTCCTGGGTGAAACAGACGTACTTGCGTCCTGTGCCGCTGATTGAAGATATTGCAGAGTAAGGGTTTATGGCAAGCTGTCGTCGCCTTTCAATATCAACAACAGGGTGAGACAAGGTTTTCCGCTATTACCCTTCCTCTTTAACTTCGCTATTGTTGTGTCGGAGCCCCGCGATTGCTTCCACCCTCCAACGGTAGTGAGAACACGAGCGACCAGGGACAGAGATGAAAAGGTTCTTTACATAGGGAAACCAGTTCGTTATATAGTATAATGCAAAAACATGAAAGCCAACCAGGGTGCGGAAAGCATGCGGACAATTAAAGCCAATAAGAACGGAACAAATGAGGAATCAATCAAGTGCATACAAAGGACGTAGGGTGAGAGTGATAGCGCCAAAGTATGCCTGCGATCTGAAGACAAAAATGACGACTACAAATAGCCAATAGGGATAACGAAACGATGCGTTAGAACAAACATCGGTGAACCACCATGGTAGAAAGTCTGCAGTCATGAACGGCTACAGATGCATACTCGGATTTTACTTTCACCTCCAACAGCTATCGAAGAAGTCATGGAAACAGCATCCGCTAGACACCACTATGGTGTGAAGCTAGTTCCTTGTGGGCAGCTTCTTGACTTGGAGTATGCGGATGACATTGCCCTAATCTGTGACAGTTCCCAAACGGGCCAAGCAGCACTGGAGCGATTAGCACTGGCTGCCAATCGTTTGGGGCTATACTTTGCTCCATCGAAATGCAAAGTACTTCTTCGAGATTGGGAGCAACCCAACTCTGCGCTGTTACTTGGTGGTGATCAGCTAGAAGTCGTTCAGGAATTCAAGTACTTGGTAGCTATGTAAGCGCCCGTGGAATCGAAGAGGTAACGAACCTTATAGCAAAAACTCGAAGTACTTTTGCCCATCACCTGAACCTGCAGCGCAGACACCGTATCACTCATGCCCTGAAAGGAAGAGTTGATAATGCAAAGTCCGTTCGACCCGCTTATACGGTTGTGAAACCTGTCCCATCAGGTCGACAGACATAAAGAGGCTAGTCACATTCGAGCATCACTGCCGTCGCAGCTTCTATCATGAGTGGTGGGAGCATCGCTGATCAATGAGTGCATTTGGCGTCGCGTATTTAGTGCAGGAAGAGCGAGTGAACTGCTCAGGACCATTATATCAGGCACCAGGATCCGATGGCCTGGCCACATGCTGTGCATGCCAGCACAACGATTCCCGCGACGTGCATCGTTTGCGCGAGGGAGGTGCGGTTAGAAGAGAAGGATGGGAGGCCGAACGATGACTTGGTCGAGAGAAATGAAAACCATCACTTCAAAGCTGGCGTCGGTTGGTGCATCCCAACTGCCTGGCTGGGGTCCTAAGGACGATGAACACGTTTGGTTGGACACACTTGCTGATATGGCGAAGAGCCGCCCCAATGGCGTTTGTGTTGTGAGTTTCTTTGTCCACCCCCTCCCTTTTAGATGCATCTTCCAATCCCGATCTCATACAAAACATAATATCATACTTAATAGCATCATCTTTGCAGTGTAATTATTTAGTCTCTCACCTTTTTGTATTGCGGCACATTAGGTGTGGGGTGTTTCTCATCCTCAGCTAATGTATATTGATGATTGAAGTAATTTACAACTTTTGCGTTCCTCACTTACGGGGCAATACGCTTCCGAAGCAGCAAGGGATTCAGAGTACGAAGTTATCTACCCAACAGCGCTTCTGCTAGGGACAGCTGATTTGGTACCTGGGGTTCGTAGTTGATCTGTACAGTATCTCTTGAGTAGTTCCTTCCTTCGTCATCTTCAGCAATGTCCGTTTAAAGGTATCAACAAAGCGCCCAGCTTGCCCATTAGACTGCGAGTGGAACGACGACGAGTGTAGGTGTGTGATACCGTTCTAGCGAACCGCAAAGATGTGAAACGAGCGCCACTGTCAGTAACCTGGGTCTCTGGCATTCCATGATGGGCGGAAAGTCTTCGCAGTGCGCCAATTGTTGTGCGTTCCATTCGGAACACTTCCGGCCACTTACTGAAGGAATCAAGAGCGATGAAATACTGTTGTCCACTCACGGAATAAAAGAAATCCGCGTGTACTTGCTCTCACGGTTTCGTTGACAACGGCCAAGAAGATAACTCTGCTTTCCCGGGCGCACACTACGGACACGATTTCGCGAGCTGTTCCAGCTCCGAGTCGATATTCGGCCAGTAAACATAACTCCGCACAATCATTTGTATTCTGCTAATGTCAGGGTGGCCACGATGAAACAGCCGTAGAATTCTTTGGCGAAGCTCAGTAGGAACAACAACTCTTTTCGTGAAAAGTGAACAACCAATGACGATGGATAATTTGTCTTTTCCCATCTCCATCTAGGTTGTACTTCGACAAATGTGTAGTGTGAAATCTGACCGCTTGTTATAGGACAGGTTCCCGCACTGATGCATTACGTATCTCAAAGGTTACCAGAAGCTATGAGCATTGCCAACAATACCTGATTCACTTCGGACTCCAGGGAGATCGTAGCAGTGATAGATTCTTCTTGCTGGCGCTGCTGGCTTTCCAATAGCAGAGAAAGTGGATCAGCTTCACCAATGTCCTTTCATCATTATACACGTCAGCTGAAGGTGGGAAACACCTCAGCTACTGTGCCGCTATACATAAAAGAAAAGGAACATAAATACAACAGTTGCATGCCAGCTGAGCTACCAGCAACCGATAATCATCTTTCCGGTAAGCTACCGGCCAAATACTAGGCAAAAAGAAAAATTATTATGTTTTACGCTACGAAATGAGATCGTAGGTGGAGGGGGAGGATAAAAGGGATGGGGAGGGACAAAGGAACTCACAGCACGAACAGCACTGAGGTCGGCTCCATGCCATGTCAGCAAGTGTAGCCAGCCAAACGTGTTCACCGTCTATTGGACCCCAACCAGGGAGCCATGACGCTCCAACCGAAGCCAGCTCCGAAGTGAGGGCCTTCATTCCTCTGGACCAAGTCATCGCTTGGCCACCCCCTCCTCTTCATCCACATCCCCGGTGAGCAAACAACGCACGTCGTGGAAGTCGATGCGCTGGCATGCGCAACACGTGGCCCAGCCATCAGAGCCTGGTGCGTGAAATGACGGTGCTGAGTGGTTCATTTCCTTTTTCTGTGCCGCAAACAAGGCGTCGAACACGCTCGTTGCTCACGCGGTGTTGCCACCAGATGTGAGCCAAACTGCAAAGGCACCGATGGTCGAACGTAACTAGCCTCTTCATGTCCTCCGATCTTAGGGGCCAGGTTTCACAGCCGTACAGTATGGTCGAACGTACCGCTGCATTGTACACTCTACCCTTCAGGGCGAGAGTAATGTCTCGCCGCCGCCATAGGTGGCGAAGACTAGCAAAAGCACTTCGAGTTTTTGATATGCGGTTCGTGATTTCGTCTTCGATCCCAAGGGCGCTGGTACAACTTCCCAGGTAATTGAATTTCTGAACGACTTCTAGGTGATCCCCACCAAGGGTCAGCGCAGGAGGCGATCCCTGCCAATCTTGTAGGAACGCTTTGCACTTCGATGGTGCAAAGCGAAGCCCGAAGCAGCTGACAGCCAGTGCTAATCTGTCCAGCGCGGCTTGGCACGTCTGGGAGCTGTCACAGATGAGGGCAATATCGTCAGCATACTCCAAGTCAAGAATTCGTTCTCCTGGGAGTAGCTCCACACCTTCCAAGTCATGTCCTGTAAATGCAAACTCCATGGCTTCGTCAATAGCGAAGTTGAAGAGGAAAGGTGACAGTAGGCATCCTTGTCTCACATCGTTGGAGATATTGAAGGGTGGCGACAGGTTGCCGTAAGCCCTCACTCTGCCCGTGCTACGCGCATATAATGCTTGGATAATATTTACATATTTCTCGGGCACACCTTTCTTGAGTAGACAATTCCAAAGGGCACATCGATCGCCCGAATCGAAGGCACCTTTGATGTCGAGGAACACGACTAGGGTGGGCCGCCAATATGTGTGACGGTGCTCCAACAACTGACGCAAGGTGAAGATGTGGTCGATGCAGCCATGACCACGACGAAACCCTGCTTGCTTCTCACGAATCTGGCTTTCACGAACGCCAGTCAGTCTGTGAAGAATTATGGAGGCGAGTAATTTGGAAGCAATGGAGATCAGACTAATTCTTTTATGGTTGCCGCATTCCGAGCGCGAGCCGCCTTTGAAGATGGGAACAATAACGGAGCGGCTCTAGTCTGTTGGGACCGTCTCCTGCTCCCACAGTTTCAGTAGTAATTCATGTAAAGCGTCAACAAGACTAGAGCCTCCGAATTTGAAGTGGGCTGGAGTAAGATTATCTGGTCCCGCGGCTTTGTTCAACTTCAACAGTCCGATCTCACGTTCGATTTCTGAGCGACAGTGTGGATCCAAAAGGACAGCCCACGGAGCAGAGCGATCAGTGACCGGAGAATAGAACAATTCTAGCCGATTAAATTGCTTTTCGAAAACTCAGCGCAACGCTCCAAACGTTTGACAAATTGTGGATAGGCTGTCCACTCTCGTCACGTATAGTTTCACTAACACCAGGTCTCCTGCTGCCCGTTTCCCGTATCAGACGGAATAACTTACGATGGTTGCCAAGGGCAGCGGCCATTTCCATCTCTGACGCACGAAGAGACCACCAAGATTCGCGGTCTCTCTTCAGGCTAGCACGGAGTTTTGCCCGGAGCTCTTTGCGAGTTTCATTGTGTTCGCTTCCAGCCGGGATATGCCGGCCAGCGTCGATAAGTTCCAGAGACCGTGAAGAGACCCAAACCCCATGTTGGTTTTTAGACTTACCACATGAGGATTTGCCTGCTGCTAGTATGGTCTGGCGAACACTTGACCAGTGACCATCAATTGTCTCCAGTGAGCGTTTACTCAACTCGCATGTCAGCGTACTTCGATACGCATTCAGAACAGCTAGCTTTGTCAGTTGGATTGTGTCCATGCGCTCACAGCGTCGTCGTGAGCGTCCGCCAAAACACATCCGTATGTCAACACATACAAGTGCATGATCGGTGTCCACACATGTGCTCCAAATCCAGCGGCAGTTCTGGATGCAGCCTCTGCAGCGGTAATTAATAGCAATGTGATCGATCTGCGTCAAAGGCTAGTTCGAGGCTGGTGGGCGCCAAATCACCCTCCGGCGAGTGCTGTGTCGGAAGTTAGTTCTCCCAAGAAATAAGCGGGCATCTTTACACAAAAGAAGTAACCGCTCACCGTTATCATTACGGAAGCCTACACCGTGCTGACCACCCAGCAGCATTTAATCAGTGGACAACTTTCCAACTTGTGCGTTCAGATACCCTGCCAGCACAACAGTGTCCGTGCTTCTTCTGTGGCGAAGGAGCTGGGTCAGTTAGTGGTAGAAGTCGTTCTTTACCGAATCATCGCTACAGTTTGTGGACGCGTAGGCAGCGATGATGTATAGACACCTATTAGTCCCGCGCAAATTCGAAGCTTTGAACGAGCCAGGCAATCGGACCGCACACATCCGGCTACTGATTGGAATCCAATCAACCAGAGCAGCTTCAGCCCGGGGAATCAGGGCAATGCCAACTGCAGCTTGGCCGATGCTCGAAGCTGCATCGTCACCGGATAGGCGCAAGGAGAAAATACTGCTTGCGTCACCTGAAGGGGATCGCAGAGTGAACACAGAGCTCGAGTCTTGCAGGCGGGTCTCTGATAACCAGCAGATATCGATCGAGAGGGTCTCCAATGTTCGGGTAAGTGCTGCCTGTTGACCGATCTGCAGCAATGTGCGTACATCGATGCATGCCAATCTGAAGGATGATCGAAGACTCCAAATGGAAGCCGATGAACTGGAATGGACCGCCTGGTTGGACATGGGCTTATCGACAGGAGAGGAGTGACGCTGCGCGCTCACATGTGTTGAAATTAGAAGATAAATGCCTAGCAAAGCATGTTGGGGGAGGGCCAAGAATCGGGGGTTGAAAACTGGGGGGATAAAAAAGTGAAGTTGGAAGGGGACGGTAAGAGGGAAAAAGCGTGAGAGGGGGAATAAGAAGACGGGAAGGCTTGAGCAGTAGCATCCAAACCCCTATCCACCTTGCTCGATGCAGCAGATATGGCACCGTTGATTATCCTCTGCGGTGGCCAGAGCATCAAGAAATTGTTTGACGAATGATTCATAGTATTGCCTGGGCAGGATACTGTCAGGTTGCCCAGGCCTAGATAGCAGGACGATTAGGGTTCTCAACCAAAGCCTTTGGTTCAAAAAAGTTGACCGCAAGGCAGCAGGTTTGGCGTTGGGCTACAAGGAGCCCGTTTTATGGAATAAGGTGCCACCCTCACTCCAACTCCCAACCTGGAGGACCAGGAGGCTGAGTTTGTCTGGCCTCTAACCATTGACTAATCTGGTATGAGTGACTCTGAAGGTGTAAAAGCACCACACAGCATAGCTAAATGGATCGCTGAGGCACCCAAACCATCGCACCACGGTAAGGTCAAGCCTCATTGCGATGGACCAATGTCCTATGTAGAAATGTGTTTCACCGTAAAGTCGTAGCCGAGTAATGTAGCAGCCCACCGCTGCAATCTGTGTGCCGTATAGACAGGGATGTCGGACTTCGATAGGAAAATTGCCAACAGCGGCTTATGGTCAGTAAGAAGTGTAAACTTCCTTCCATAAAGCGAGGACTATGGCCAAGGTTTCTTCCTCTATCTGGCCATAATTTCGCTCTGCGGCAGACAACGACCGGGCTGCATGTGCAAATGCCTTTTCTGAACCCATCTGCGAACTTGTGGGCTTTGACTGCACCAATTCCATGGTTCGAAGCGTCTGCGGCCACCACAATCTCCAAAGTAGGGTCGCAATGTCAGCAGAAGGTCAGAACATAGTAGCCTTTTTACCCCGTCAATTAAGCTCTGGCATTCCTCGGACCGGTTCCATCGTTTATCCTTAGTCAACAGGTCAAAGAATGGACTACGCAAGCGACGCATGTGCGGCAGAAACGGCTTTAATAGCTTAGGAATCCTAGGAAGCATCTTAGCGTTGCAACATCTTTGAGCGACGGCATCTTCATGATTGCCTCGATGTTTGCTAGGTTTG